GTAGTAGTAGTAGTAGTAGTAGTAGTAGTAGTAGTAGTAGTAGTAGTAGTAGTAGTAGTAGTAGTAGTGTTTTTATTATCTAAACAAAACAGACTGAACATTGTGCAATCTATTTATCCCCTGAACAAACTAAATACATTTCCACTTGTGTTTTGAATGACAATAGCCTGTTTGTTGTTGTTTTATGTTGCCTATATGTGCATCACCATAAAACAATACAAAGCGCACTGTAACACATTAAAGTAAATGTGCCCTTTTTTTTGGCCCCATTCTATAAATAAAAAGTGACCATGTTTCGCCCCTAACAGCAGCGACCACTGGTCACATCACCCAAGGGTCCTGGTGAAYGTGTAGTTCTTTCCTGGAACGTTTCAAACAGTTAAACTCGGTTTGCAGGTGAGGGTGACTACATTACCCAGAATCCCCGGGGCTCCTCTACAAGCTGGCTCTCTCCGCTCTGGGAGTGTTTCCCATTTAAACGAACACGGTCTTGCCGAAGATGGCGGAGAGTTTGTAGAGGCGTAAAAGAAACTGGTGTAGTCAATGAAAGCGTCGAAGCCGGTGAGTTTTTGCAACTGCTTCGCGATTCTTTAATACCTACGTCTTGAGCAGTGGTGTTAGTTTTTTATTAAAGGCATACATTTGTTAGAGAAGCAGCTGCGGTGCTTCGCCTCCGAGCAGGCTGTGCTTTTTAAGCTACCGTGTTAAACCGACCGAGCCACCTTATCGCTCTGTATTTGTTATTGACTTTTAGTTCAGGCATTACTACGCTCTCAGCTGTAAATGCGACCATTATTTGCGTCAAAACAGATTTAGTGTGTGGTATTTTGTCTCGTGTTTCTTTTTTTCTTTTTCTTTTTTCGTTTTTGTGTTTCCATTATCCGCGCTAGCCACAAAGTTTACGAGACATTGACTTTGATTCGCTGGGTGCTTCAGCCTCGCTCTYCTACAGGGCTTTAAAGCACTGCTTTGTGCTTTAACGATGCTTTTTAACTCCGTAGAGGCATTCATTGCCCACAACATATCTCAAT